TCATCAGTATACCGGTGTTCAATTACAGACAAACCTGGGATTATATGGAGATCTTCACTCTGCAAGGAGATAGATCAGTTCTAGATGAGGCTGCCCGAACCTTGAAGATCCTTGCTTTGGGGGCCCTCCTGTACCTGCAGTTACTGCTTAAACAACTGTGTGGGCTTTTTCTGGATGAGGACCCCCTAGGAAGTGATTCATGTTCTCATTACCTCAAGGTTAGATTATTGCAACAATCTCTACATGCAGCTACTTTTGAAGATGGCCCAGAAGCTACAATTGATTCAAAACACAGTGGCTTGATTAGCAGATTCACCCATACTGAAGTCATTGATTACAAACAGGCTTCTGAGTCAATTCAAGGGACTGATTTTAACTTTTAAAGCATTAAAAGGGATTGGCACCCATGTTTTAGCAGAGTCATCTTGACAAGAATCTCTGCTCAAGAATCAGCTTACCCTATGTATTGTGTCCTGAGAAGGGCACTCCATGTCTCCAACTCATGTGAGTTAAAAAACATGGAATTCTCTATACCAGGGGTGTCAAACTGTGTCAAATTGTGTCATCCGGAAGCCACGCCCATTGTCAGCAATGGCAAAACCGTCCCGATACGTTGCGCAACATCACATGACGTCGCAAGTTTGACATGTCTGCTTTATACCATGGGTGTCAAACTCGCCACGTCACATGACGTGTTGTGACATATCGCAACTTTTTTTCCATTGCTGGAGCTGCAATAGCCTCTGCATGATGCAACTGGACCGCAGGCCAGCAGTTTGACACCCCTGCTCTATGCCTTACTCCCTAAACCAGCTTTACTTGTATTTCATAATGCAGTTAAGATTGGACTCTTGGTGTGAACTATGGAACTGGGCTATAATTCTTTTGGATCTCATTCCTTTATGGTTTTATTTTTTAGTTTGGTTTTGTATGCAGTACTATCTTGAACTGTTTTGAATCAGTTCTATTTATTATATTAATATGAATATATAAATAGTGGTTGAGAGAGGAAAGAAAAAAGTTGTGCAGCCTTCACACAGGAATAATGTGCAAAACAAGCACTTGGAATATCTCTGGGCTCTGTGGAAGATTTCATGCTCATGTTGATCTTCATGCTTTTCATGGTGAAAAATCGGCAGAGTTTCAAGATGGAGTTTATATGCATGTCCTCAATCCACTGTGTGCAAAATATGCAATTTCTAGAAATATCCCCCCCCCTTATTTATGTAGGCAGTTGCATAGCATATCTTAGAAGCTCAATGCACCTTTTCATCACACAGAGAAAAACACACACATCACTGGGAACACATGAAGGTCAAACATTCCTGTCTTGTTAATCATTAATCCAAGTAAGTATGGATCAAGTTGCCTTTGACAAAGGTTTCCATAAAACTTATTAGAAATTACCCAGGAATAATGCAGAGGGCTGTAATGCATGTATCCGATGCATCTTACCAGACAGGACAGTGAAAAGTGAACATTGCCTTTTAGTATTCAATGTTTTAAAGGATAACAGGAAAAACAACCTGCACACAATGCAGTATTATTATTATTTAGCACTTACACAGCATTTCAAAGCTGCAGGCATAATTGAGTGGTCTGTCTTGTAGCCAGTGTTACAACAGTCAACCAGCCATCAGTGTACTGCTATTATTTCCACTCACTCCTCCCAGGGGAATGAAACTAATTTTCCCTTAAGGCCATTTGTGGCTAAGTCGGGATTAACCAGCTAACACTCCAATCCTCTTATATTTCTCACAGAGGTTCTTAGAAGGTAGGGAGAGTTATGTGGCCCTGACCTCTGTCTATCTAACTACCTACCTACCCACCCAGACATCAATTACCTTCAAGCTGATTCTTTATCAACTGCCTAGACCACGGGTGACAAACTCGATCATGTCACGTGATGTATTGTGACATATCACGATGTTTTTTGTCTTTGTGGAGCTGAGGTGGGCATGGGCTGCTCATGACGCATCCAGCCAGTGGGCTGCCATTTGATAGCCCTGGCCTAGACAGTCCCTGAAGTCTTCTTGGCAAGATTTTAAAAGTGTTTTGTCACTGCCTTCTTTCTTGGGCTAAGAAAAAATGATTGGACTAAGATCACCCAGCTAGCTTTGTGTCTAAGGCAAGAGCAGAAATTATAATCTCCTGGTTTGTAGTCTAGTGCTTTAAGGACTGCACCAAGCTATCTATGTTAATATATACCCACTTTTTTAATTGTCCAGCAGATGGAATAGCATTAACATGAGTTGAAGCTGGGAATGAGCGGCCTACACAATTTGGGGGCAAAGAAACTAAATAGATGATTTCTTTGAATTTCTCCAAGGGAAGAAGATGCCTCTTTAATGAGGATAGCAATCCCGTCACTGAAAAATCCAATGGGAAGAACTACATCTTAGTATCTTCCAAGCTAGGGAGGCAAGTAAGCCACATTCTGCTGGAGAAGTGACTGTACAACAAATGGCAGGACATCGACATAAGCTCTTGACTATCTCATAACTAACTAAATCCAAGAACGCTGTTTATTTTTCTGAAATTCTATTTCTCCAGCTAGAATGAGCATTGATGGGAAAAAATGCAGAATTTCTCCATGCGTATTAGGCAGATTTAACCTAAATGACATCAATTATTGAACCACCTTCAAAACAGATGAACAGGATACCTTGTTCATGAAGACCACTTGACAATACTTCTTCCAGAACTGATCTACCACTCACAAAACACTTCTCCAATGAATTGCGTGGCAGCAACCCCGGTGTCTTCTGAGCAGGAGATAAGAACATTTCGAACTGTCTAGACATTTTAGGAGCTGGTCTTTCTTGCTGACCCAAGGAATATGAATCACAGAGTGGTTGGACCAAACAGTAATCACAGATTTAGCACCCTGTTTCTCAATTTCTGCAACTTTAAGATGCATGGATTTCAAACTGGCTGGGGGAATTCTAGGTGTTGAAGCCCACACATCTTGAAGATACTATGGCTGAGAATGTATATCAGTTATATGTATATGTATATCAGAATTCATGAGGTATAGCATCTGGCTTCATATTAGAGCATATAAAATGGCCCCATTTTATTTGTATAAATAAATTATTGTTCATATTTATATTTATAAATAAATAATTGTGTGTGTGTGTAAAATGGGGCTATTTTGTATATTATAATATTCTACCTAATGTATTAAGCAAGAAATTAAGTGGCAAGGTTCAAACTGAAGAAGGAATATTACTTCGACAAATGTTAATCTCTTTTCACTTGATATCCCTGTTTAACAAACAACAGAAGAATGTCCTTAGACATCACTCAAAGTAAGATTGTATTCAATAATTTCAGTAGTATCGGTATGACAGGCATACGTTTATCGTGTGACACTAAACTACCTTACTTCAACATAGAGAGTAGTATTGATTGAGAATTGCCAGGTTAAATATGTTTCTTAGCATCCTTTAAAAAAATTGTTTGCAACTGTATAACTGCAAGGAATGGGACTGATTTAAGTCAACAGTTGCAAGCCTAATGCATCTGTTACAGAACAAAAAGCTATCTCTTTTTTTCCTTCCAATCTATCAAGTGCAAAGGATTACTGTCGTAGCCCCCTGAATGCAATTTGCACAGGGAACCCAAAACTCTGCCCATTTTAAGAAGAATACACTTACATGCAAGAAGTGTTACATAATGAATGGAATGCAGGCAGTTAAGGGCAAAAGTGTGACGAAAAATTCTTTCCCACCATTCTCACTGATGAAACACTATATGCTTTTGGCACCCGCTCACAGGATTGAACAAGCACTTCATCCAAATGTATTCCTACCGTGAAATAAACTACACAAAAGCAACAGCCATCAATGAAAAGGGTGAGAGTGAAGGAAAGTATTTAAATATTTAGAGACAACCATGTATATTTTTACATGAGGGGAAAGGGGGGAGAAAGTCATCCGTGAAATATTTCCTTTTCAATGAACTTGCTCTGTCATATAAGTTGAAAAGCTCCAAAACCTGACCAGAAAAAGAAAATCATCCTTCCCAATCCTCAAAACACAGATTTCCCCAAATGAATGCCTCCCCGAAAAACCCTCTGGGCCCTCTCACTTTTGCAGAACTTAGAACATGGAATGCATCCTCCCACATGCCTTCAACAAGATAGACGCTTTATAATAGATGAGCAAGGTATATAACAAGTTATGCCCAAATCACATTTCCAATCATCTCTCATTGTTAGGCCAGCTGAAAAATACTGGAGAGGTAATATTTAGAGACCCATGTGTTAGCTACCCTTGCTATGCACCCCATAGAACACAGCTCTGCAACCTTTCCGGGTTGGCGGCCCAGAAGGAAAGGGAGGAGCAGGAAAATGTGTGCATGCACGAGCATTCGCAAATGGGCACACGCATGACAGCAGCGCTACCACTCCCACACATGCGCAAGTGGGCCACGAGCATCCGGGGCGGTGCTAGTGCCCACATGGATACAGGGCGCTAACACCCGCACGCGTGCACAACTGGGCTATTAGTGCCCGCGTGACACTGGTGGTGGCGCTAGTGCCACCACGCATGCATGCAAATGTGGCCGCTAGCACGAGTGGGCGGGTGTCATGCACACATGCACGCATTCACCAGCCATTCCTGCAGTCTGGTGGCCAACAAGTACCGGCCCACAGGTTGGAGACCCCTGCCATAGAAAACTCAGGATTTTCCATGGTCATCTTCTTTGATTTGAATGGGAAGCATTCAGGAGGCAATATAGATGAATTAAAATCAGTATGACTGGATAATGCATGCAAAACAACTTCTCCATCCAGTTAATCCACTTGCAACCACAATACCGGTCTATGTGTAAAAGGGAGATACTGACTGCCTTGAGAAAAGCTTTGGCAAAGTTGCCCAACCTTTCTCAATGCAATCAGTATCTCTCTTTTGATAAATATTATTCAAGATGAGAAAAATGAGAAAGGATAACAAGGTCTACAACACATCTCAACATTGATTTGATCAACTGACCAGTGCACAGAGGAGATCCACAGCCTCTAAAACAAGCTCTTGGTGTCCAATCCGGGTGACCCCAAGTTCTTCAAGATCCTGATGGGAAATCTGCAATAGCTGAGCACCATTTATCTTCTCTCGTTCAAACTTTGGGACATACTGCTGAAGACAATCATCCAGACCTACATAAAAAAAAAAAAAACAGAGCCAATGTAATCATATTTCTTTATTTATTTTTAATTTAAAACCATGCACATAAATATCCCCACAACTTTTAACCCTGGTTAATATTGCCTAAATAAAACATTCCATGCACCAATTATGCCTAATTAAAAAACTTTAAAAATAAAAGCAGAAGAGGCACAAAAAAACCCATAAAAGCAGGGAAGCATGAAGAATACAAATGTGTGTGCGTTTTTTTTTTTTAAAAAAATACTTACTCGAGATAACCCTGTTAGATAATTCTCAATGCCTCTAAGTCAGGGGTCTTCAAACTTGGCCCTTTTATGACTTGTGGACTTCAACTCCTAGAATTCCTCAGTCAGCGTGCCTGGCTGAGGAATTCTGGGAATTGAAATCTACAGCTCTGCACCTTTCCTTTGTCTCCATTTTATATCACCTTTCCTTTGTCTCCATTTTATATCACTTCTCCCTCCATTAATTTCATATACAGGTTGTCCTTACAACCACTCAGAACCACTTGTTTAGTGACCGTTCAAAATTACAATGGCACTGAAAGGAGATTTTTTTTTCACGCAACCATTGCAGCATCCTCATGGTCACATGATCAAAATTTGAATGCTTGGCAAGTGGCATGTATTTATTATGATGGCTGCAGTGTCCTGAAGTCATCTGATCCCCTTTTGCAACCTTCTAACAAGCAAAGCCAACCGGGAAGCTAGGTTCACTTAACACCTATGTTACTAACTTAACACCTGCCGTGATTCGTTTAAAACATGTGGGAAGAAAAGTCATAAAATGGGGCAAAGCTCTCTTAACAGCTGTCTTGCTTAGCAATGGAAACTTGGGGCTCAACTGTGGTCATAAGTGGAGGACTACCTGAATTACAATCCAGTTCCCAGATCATGCCACGATGACTCCTCTGTCTGCTATTAACTTTAATGATGTGATAGGTTGGGAAGTTATGATAGGGACAGAGCAACACTTAATTTCCAAAGTTGGCAAGCAACAACCTTCATCACCACTTACTGAATTGTTAATACTCACCAACAATACCAAGATAAGAAAAGGACATCCAGATTTGCTTGTCATCCAAGTGGCCATGTGTGACCACAACATTCTCACTCATAATGAAACTAGAGGGAAGTGAACTTTATGCCGTGATGGGATTTAAGAAAGAGCTGATTCCTGGGATTCCCTTCCCCAAATTAACTATGTTAGTAAAGCAGGAAGATTTCAGTTAGAGACCTAAACTGGATGGCTTCTGAATAGTTCTGTGGCTCCCTCACTTCAGGTGCCTGTGAAACATTGTGGATTGCACAGGGTATTTTTACATGTTCCACAGAACTGCAAAAAATAGAACGTAGAAATGCACAATTTTTTGGTGCCTGGAGATTGTACTTGTGGATGGGGGGGGGGGCAGCACTGAAGACAATAGGATACAAAACAGGAAAGCAATATGGAAAGTATTTGGCCTTTGTACCAGAGTAAAATCCATTATTTTTTTATTCCCCCACTGAATTCATAAAGGAGGTTTTTAAAAGGATTTTTAAAGCGTTTATACTACAGCTTTCATGGGCTTTCTGCCATAGTACTGTATGATTAATTTTTATAACTAGGGTTGGGAAAGCCCTGGAAACAACCAAAAAAGGTATTCAGGCACCTCTGAAACCCTGACATGTCTTTTACCCATGGAGTAAAGTTCTTCATCCATCCATCCAATTGGCCATTCCAATAATTGAGGCAGTCACTGTTTTTTTGTTTAGCAAATATAAATTGATTCTACACACACACACACACATCTTATATAGATTCTTAATCATCCAGGTCATGGTTGTTCCAAAGGTGCTTTTTCAGGAAGCAACTGGCCTTTATTGTTTTTTCATTCAGTCCTTCCATTCCTACCATCTAATCCAGTGGTTCTCAACGTGTGGGTCGGGACCCCATTTGGGGTCGAACGACCATTTCACGGGGGTCACCAAACAACGCAGTCCGCCATTTTTCCCCCTTTTCCTTAGCTGTGCTACTCCCTTTTATTCTATTGGCTTTTGAAAGCCAATAGAATAGACTCTCTTGAATAGAGTCTAATTCTATTGGCTTTCAAAAGCCAATAGGAATTGTCCAGGCTGTCTCTGCCCTGCTGAGCCCGCCAAAAGTCCCAGTCTGCAAACGGTGCTGCACCAGTTGAGTAGTCCTCGACTTACGACCAGTTGGGGGTCGCGGCATTAAAAAGGTTGAGAACCACTGATCTAGTCAGAGCTGAAGAAGCTTCTTGAATGAGAAGAGAAATATCTTCAAAGAAAAACAAGAAAGGCCTGTTGCTTCCTGAAAAAGCACCTTGGGACACAAATCTTATCTAAAATTCTCTATGTTGAACACAAGTTGAACACAGTTTTGGCAGCCATTGCCACCCAATTTATTACAGTACTTCTGGCCTGGAGAGCACACGGTCAAATTGTGTGAACCCTGAATAGTTACATAAAACTTTGGGTTTAAGTTATCAGCCTTTAAAAGTGCAGGAGTTTGTGCCTTATTTCATTTAGCACTCTACAGATAACAAAGAAATGGGATAAAATGAAACTCTGGCATGCCAAAGAAAACAATGCAACTGTTATTAATCCATTAGTTCAATGTGCTAAAAGCTTCTTTGTCTGAATAAATTCTTTTCCAGGGCAACAATCAGAAAATCAAACCAGGGCACCTAACAAAGAATCTCTCGACAACTTAGTTCAGCAAAAACCAAGTATCTAACTTTAATTCTTAGGCAAGTTATACAATATATGTGGGCAGCACAAAAATCCAGAACACCATTTTTCAGAACAATATAAGCACTGAATATAAATTCAGGCACATCATCCTCAAACAGGTGAGTATGAAAGAAATCACATCTCATCCAAGTACTAAATGAAGGAGAAGTACCATCCTAGCTGTTTTTATTAAAATGCAATGGATTGTAAAACTTTACAAAAGAACTACAAAAACCACCTTTCTCTCTCAGCACTTGATCAAAGATACAGTACAACAAAATGCTAATGTTTTGGATATGTAAATAATCACTTCTTGGATGTTCCAAAGAAAACTACATTCCTCACTTCTACACCTGCCCCCAAAAAACACTTTCCCAGCCCTACACAAGATTCCACCTTTGCACTGTAGCTGAATTAACAACATTAGAGAACACAATTGCTTCCACTGCATTCTACACCAGTTGAAGCTTCTGGGTGATTTTTAAAAGCAGGCCAAGTACATTGCAATATATTCAGATAACCACTTGTGTACTAGTCACTTTGCAGCTTGGAGGACTTGGGTGGTCTAGATACATGAAATTATATATGTATATATATTTTATGTTTCTAGATCACTATCTCAAGCTGCAAAGTGACTCATACACAAGTGGCTATCTGAAGGCCTCCCTGATTTAGGAGAAGGCACAATAACTGCAAATGGAGTTGCATGAAGGCCTCCTGGGCCATAGCAGATATCTGTTCTTCAAACAGGAGAAATTTAAAAGGTTGTATTGTTAATATTTATAGCAAATCCTTTAGCTTACTCCTTCTTGCAGAATCAATGTGCATGCATTCAAGACCATGCCAACATATACTGAATCACACTGTTTTGCTCATCACTTATATGTCATTGTTGTGATGGCCAACATTATTGGATCAATGCATACAGAGGACTGACAAAACAACAGGGTTTAAACACTGTGCTAAGTCAGGAAGCTTTGCTAACCATGATTTATTTGATTGGCTGAGTCCTTGAATCATGCTAAGCCAAAGACTACAGGTTTTCAAAGCATAGCTTGTTATGTCTGAAGGACACAGTTGAAAGCACAAAGTAACCAAAATAGAATTTTAACTTCTGAGTAATTTCTATGACTGAACTAACATAATAGATTTAAAGGAACAGGACATGAAACTACTGCTGATCCAGTGTGCTAGTTACCTCAATGAGTAACAGCTGAAAACGTCATCTGAGCTTTCTCACCAACAAAACTGGAAGAGACTGGTAGCAGCAGTCTAACTTTAAAAGAGAGAAGGCTGATGTTTCATAAATTCTAGTAGTCTCCATGTGCAACTCCCTTCACTGAAGGGAAATTATCATTCAACAATACCAGGTTAATTAGGTCATGCAAATTATATTGTCAAATGACTGAGAAAAAACTTCCCATTTGATCATTCCAAAGCAGACAAAAAAAAAAAAAAAATAAGGTGTGTGCTATTTCAACAATTTACAGAGAGGTAAAGTGGTTGTTGTTACTAATATTATAGTTATTAGTACATATAAATACTTTGCAGCTGAAATGGGCATTAGTCTTACTTTTGACTAAGAAGCGATAAGCCTCATGTACATATATTTAGTTGGAAACCCAATGAAGTCATTTAAAATTGTGACACCAATCCCTTGCCTTAAAGCAGGACTGAGGCATATTCTTCGAAAAGGTCTAACTATAGATCAACTCTAATAAACAAAAGAGAAATTACAGGTAGTGCTCAACTTACAACTGCAATTGAGCCCAAAATTTATGAGAAATTTGTTAAATGAATTTTGCCCCATTTTATGACTTTCATTGCCACATTCATTCAGTAAACCACTGCAGTTGTTAAGTTAATAACAACTTAATTTACATCCAAATGTAAATCCCATGATCATGGGGACACTGCAATGGTCATAAGTGTGAAAAGTGGTCATAAGTCACTTTTTTGAGTGCCATTGTAACTTCAAACGGTCACAAAACGAACAGACTACCTATATAGCAATAGCACATTATAAAGACTTCAGTTATAGCCATTATTTTGCTTTCAATTCCTTTCCAATAAGGATGAACAGCATGAGGCTATCCAGATGTTGCCCTAACTCTTACTATTCCTTACTATAATAAGACATTTATAATACAACAATCATTGATGTCAATATTAAGGCTGCTGGGAAATGTAATCCAGCATCATTCGTAGGATACAGGTTCCCCATACCTGCAATGTGATCCCAGAGTAACAAGTAA